GCAAGAGCAAGAGCAAGAGCAAGAGCAAGAGCAAGAACAAGAACAAGAACAAGAAGAAGAGGATGAAGATTCATGCTGAACGTTACCAGCACCCGCCATTTTGTAAAATGCTGCTTAAGTGCTTTTAAAATACTCCTTTGCCGACAAAACAAATGCACTCGCACGTGATATCCCGCCACCTAAGCAGGCAAGCGCCAAAAGAAGGTAAGTTAAATTATCTTCATCTCAGCTGCCTAACATTAAACGTTAGTAAGGCTGTTGCATTAGACTGCAGATCGTGAGGTCTCTGTTTGAGCCCACGCTGGGTTGAATAGAATTCTTGGAAAACACCTACGTCTTTACGCTCACTGTGACTATCAACTCTAAATAAGTAATACATGACAAATGACGTCAAAATGTAGCAAGAACAAAAAAAGTGTCACACGAGACGATAGCTGAGTGTGTCACTGATGTTCTTGCCACATTTTGACGTCGTCTGTGATCTATTACTGAACAGACGCACAGCAACATGGAATACATTTGTTTTATGTAATAAAGAAACAAACTACCACAGAAAAAGCATTTTATTCCAAAATATTTCAACGTAACTCGAAACTGACCTTTGCCCACTTTGGCAAACACAAAAATAGCAATTGCAATAGCACGTATAATCTGTTGTCTATACAAAATGAAGCATACTAATTGGTTGCTATGCTTTGCAAAGAACTGTGATTGGTCCAGGAAAATGACGCCACTGTCAAACTGACTCGCTTCTCGTGGAATGAGCGAAAGCAGAATTGAGCATGAACTGCCAAACTTACAAATCTTAAAGAAAATGCTGGAAATATTAAGTCAATTTTTGTCATCAGAGCAGCTCTGTGAGCCAAAAGCTTGGACGTTGCCTTGAATATTGTAGGAGTTCAAAATTACGCTCGGAAAACTTGCGGTTGCGGTCAAAACTGGCGGCTATTCGATTCGAGTTTTGAGTGAAAAGAGCGTAAGTGACGGTGGAAATTTGTGTCCTCTGTGGTTGGTAATTCTCAAATCAGTTTGATATAGTGTCGGAGACACCTTATAACTGAGAAACAGTCAGCTGTGAGCTGTAGTGAGCTATTCTTTGCTCGCTGCTGTGCCCTCAAACGGACTGGAACATTCTCGTCGGAAAGCTAGGTTGTGTTCTAATATATATTTCAACTGGTTGTAAGAGGTGATCTTTTGATCTTTCATTCCTGACGTCAATCTGTATCAACAATTACTTTGAGACTTAGAAAAGTTGAATTTTTTGAATAAATTAATCTTATCAACATTTTGTTTCGTAAGGGTTTGTAAAATTCGAGACAAAGCAATGGTTTCTTAATTCCAAGACCAATTTTATGTTTGGTTTAACCTCGCTCGGCCAACTGAGACTGCTCGAGTATTTTTTCTGAGTAATGTTGTGAACGGCTTCTTCTTTCTTCTTCCAGACTCTTGTACCTGTTCAATGCCTCGACAAGACTTTTTTTGAATCTTATCTTTCGCCTCGTAAAATATTATCTAAATTCTCAAAACTTTCCGCCATTTTAAAACGGAGAGGGAAAAACTTTCTAATGATGACGTCAGTTGTGCGTCTGTCCTTTAATAGATCATAGTCGAGAACCAATCAAACTGCGAGAATAATTTGAGTTATTATATAAAGTGGACTAGCATTGACTAGCGTTCCATTTCTTAATATTTAAAAGTCTGTGGGAGTAGGATTAATCACAGCCATTCCTGTTTTTACGTCTCCGTTAGTAGATATATTGTCAATCTTTGGAAATAGGCACTTATAGATTGTGCTAGAATAATTTTTGGCATAGTTTGGAAAAACTAACATAATTTTCGCACTTTTTGTTAAAGTAGCACTGCTACCACAATCAGCATTTTTTAAAAAGAAGGGAACATTGCCAGAGTCATGACTTGCTTGGACTGTAACAATGATTATTTTCAATCAGATAATTCCATAGTTTGGGGGCGGCAACTCAGAAGGCTCTGTCTCCAGAAGTTTTTAGATGTACCCTAGTAACTTCCAAAAGATATTTTCCAACAGATCTTAAACTCCTTGGTAGATTGTAATGGACTAAAATTTGACCTACATAGGAATGTGCTAAGTTATTAATTGCCTTGTAAGCCAGTAATAAAACTTTAAAAGCAATTCGCTGTTCCACCGAAAGCCAAAGCAATACCTTGAGGATAGGGGTTACATGCGCAGCCCTAGGCTGTTGAACTACAAAGCACGCGGCATAATTTTGAATCCGTTGAAGCTTGATGATTAAATACTTTGGTGACCGGTGAGCAGCGAGTTACAGCTGTCCAAGCGACAAGTGACAAAGGCATGAAAAAGAGCTTTAGTGCTCTCGACAGTTAAGTACTCCCTAATCCTAACAATATTCCTTAGATGGAATAAGGCAGATTTGCAAACTAAATTTACATGCTTATCTAGCGATCAAATTTGATCAAAATCTACACCTATGTTCCTGGCCGTTTTAGACGGACATACACGACAATCGCCAACCAGGATCATACTGTCGAGAAGTGGGCACGGCCGATGTTTAGAACCAATACTGAACAAGTAGTTCAGTCTTATCTCTATTTAATTTGAGTTTGTTAGGGGCCATCAAACGATCGAGGTCCCGAACACAAGATTCAATCTGAGCAAGCGAGCTAACCTGATCATCCCCGTCTAAGGAATTGAAAAACTGGTAAAACTGTGTGTCATCAGCGTAAAAATGAAAACCTATGTTATACCGTCTGACGATATCACCAAGTGGCGAGGTGTAACGTAGATACAATATTAGTCGCAGCTCGGACCCCTGAGGCACTCCGCAGGATAACGGACGCGTGGCAGACCCAGCACCCCGAATACTAACAAAGTGAAATCTTTCTCTAAGATAAGATTCAAACCAGGCAAATGCTGAGCCGCAAATTCCAAAACGATTCGCTAATCGATTTAAAAGTAATGAGCGATCGACCGTGATAGATCCAATCAATCAGACGTTGAAACAGGCGGAAAAACGGGAAAAAAATATTAAGGAAATAAAGTAATTTATCTCTTAATTACGGGTGTTTAAATTCAGTAAAAATCCTTCTACCAAACAAAGCAAACTCCGTTGTCATTAAGTAAAGCAAAGATAGCAGTTTCCACTGTCCCCTCGACACACAAGTAATTCCGAAAACTCTCTTTTCCTTATTCTGTCATTTGGTTGGGGTGAAAAAGAAGTGAAAACATCTGTAACTTCGACTCTGCAATATTGCGCAGCAAACTGTTTGTCATTCTTAGTTGTTATCATTACTCTGCCACCCAAAGAAAATAACGTTACTCAAAATAGTTTTGTACTCTTGTCTGAATTGTTTATTCGTGGCACCATATATAAAGGGATTGATGGTGCTACTCAAATAGCACAAGAGCCCGTATGCAAGGTACACCTGTCTTGACAAAGTGTCTCTCCCGCGGGCAGCGTCAATGTTATCCACGATACAAACAGGAAGCCAACAACACGTAAAACCGACCATTATTGCCGCTAATGTCTTGGTCACTTTGGCTTCTTCCACGTTCGCTCTAAGTTGCTGGGGTTTATTTTCTTGTAAGAAGACTCTGTTTGATCTCGACACTGTGTAGAAGACCTTGGCGTAACAGATGACGATAACCGTTAAAGGGGTTGCGATGTAAACGCACTCGAGAAATACGGTGTAAGCGAGGTTACTTTGAAACGAGTACATGCACATTGCTTTACCCGCCTGAAATTTAACCGCACCGTTTTTGAAAAAGAAGGGAGGAACAGATCCAACGAACGCTAGCAACCATACTACAGCAATGTACATCAAGGCTCTTTGTTTTTTAAAAACTGCGGTATACTTTCCTGACTTCACAACACGGAAATATCGGCTCACTGCAATTATTACCATGGTATTGATAGAAGCCATTGCAAACATAAACACTCCCAAGCCGTGAAAACGACAAAAAGTTTCGCCAAACATCCACTCTCCTCGAAACAATGTTGCAACTGAAAAAGGCATACAGCAAATGGACATCAGAATGTCGCTTACAGCAAGTGCTACTACAAACATGTTGGGAAGGGTACGAAGCCCCCGATTTCTGTGCACAGCGTAACAAGTAAGAAGATTGCCACAGAGGGCCACGGCATTGATAACGGCCAACAAAACAGTTTCAATCCAAAGTAAGGTCTCCGTCCTCGTGGCAAGCTCAAGGGAAAGAGAATCCTTCATGATCCGCGATGATCGCAGAAGATGAAAAAGTTTTGAAGATATCTGGAAAGTTATTGCGATGCAGTTTGCTTTNCAAGCTCAAGGGAAAGAGAATCCTTCATGATCCGCGATGATCGCAGAAGATGAAAAAGTTTTGAAGATATCTGGAAAGTTATTGCGATGCAGTTTGCTTTAGGACCTCCAAATCAAACTCGTTAGAGCTCTTTAGTTGTCGTACGTGGAAAGATGCTGAACCAACTGTAATAACAACCGTTATCTTCTGCCGTTTTTATGCGATCATCCAATATTAAATTGTTGTAATCATGGTTAATTGTTATCAGCATCGGCTTTGTAAACTTTGTAAACATGAGATGTGAGATTTTCTGGCTAAAGCACCTAAAACCTACCCATCGTTTACATCCTTCCTTCCTTAGCGAAGAACATAAAAGAACAGATGACAAACAAAATTCACCAATCAATATATATTGTAGTTATATGTGCTATATTGAAACACGTGTGCGAGTGAACATGCTCAATGCAATTAAAATAGAAAGATTGCAAATAAAGGTAGCCGTTTTATTAAAAAGTGTTTCAGTCAACGTTTTCAGGTTAATATGAGCGCAGTAATAAAAAGGTATATAGTAACTCAGAAGAGGAATTCAGTGAACGGGAAAATGTAAATCGGCTCTAGGAAAACATAAGGAGAAACTTTTGAAGAGTTACGATGTGGTGGGAAAATTCTAAAAAAAAACATGGAGGAAAGTTCATCTTAAACACAGATAATATTTGAACTCACAATCTAACAAACTGGTTGAAATAAATTAATTTAAACAATTAAAAGAGATCGATTTCAAGAGTTCAATTACCGTTGTTAAAACAAATGCGGCGTTTTCAAACTGTTTATTTAAACTAACACGGACGTTGCACATGTGTGATTAAATATTTCTTGAAGCAATTATTAAAACCAAATGTTTGGAACATACAATTATTGCCCGTTCTGCAATGCTGGACTAAATAAAATTGAAAAAAATCACAAGCAATCTTGCAGAAATAGCAAGAGTGAATTGAAACGAGCGGGTCTTTTTCAGTTCCTTCCGCAGTTGCAGGAATATGTATGTATAACAAAGTTTTATTGTCGCCACTATATTTACATTTTTGCCGACTTCTCAATGACAATGATAGCAAAGAAAGTAATGATAAAACTTGTCATGTGGAAATTCTGGCTTCAGTGCTGACTGTTGGTAAAAATTTATATTCTTTAAACTACAGGAGAAATGGAAATTCTCATGTCACTAGAGGCACGACTTCGACTTATCTTTTCAACACTACCAAAAAAAAAAAACTATAATTGCATGATTCCATTCATATAATGATCATTATATTATATTTTTATATGGCTGTGTCTCACAAGGACTGGGAACTACCGAATTCACGAATTTGATTGGCTAAAATCGATATTGACCGCGGTCTAGATTTTCCCATCT